CCAAATCAGCCCCCGGGGGTCCCAAACCAGCCCCCGGGGGTCCCCAGTCAGCCCCTGGGGACCCCAAATCACCCACTGGGGGATCCCAAATCAGCCCCCGGGGGTCCCCGGTCAGCCCCCGGGGGCTCTGGGACCCCCAGGGCTCCTTTTCCCGGCCCCATCCCAGAGCCGGGGGTCCCGTGGGTGCCGCTCCCATCCCTCGCTCCTCTCCTTCCCTCCCGGAGTTCCTGGGGGTCCCCACTGGTCCCCCAACATCCCTGCGGGTCCCGCTGTCCCCCAGGAGTGCCACCAGCTCCGGAGGGGCTCCGCGGGCCCGGGCAGCCCCTGCCCTGCCCTGGGGGCCGGGAAGGAGTCTGGGGGTCGGACTGGGGGTACGGGCAGCAGGGAGGGGGTCCGGGCAGCATTAAGGGGGTCCGGGCAGCATTAAGGGGGTCCGGGCATCATTGAGGGGTCCGGAGCCGGGCGGGCCCGTTCCCGCGGCCTCCTGCCCGCTGGCAGCACCAGAAATAGCCGGGCTGACGTCAAGCCCCAGAGCACCCCGGGGGGGGCACGGGGTGTGCCAGAAATATCCCGGCTATTAAAAGTCTTGGCTCGGGATTAACGCCTGGTAAATAAACGTGGCGCTGCCCCGGGGGGGGGTTACGCACGGCCGGGGTGGCGGGGGGCTCCCCGTAACCGGGGGGATGCCCCCGTCCCCAAAAAGGGGGGATTCCACGCTCGGCACGGTGTCACCCCCCCCGTGTCCCTGCAGGGCCACGTGGGGACACGGATCCCACGGGAAACGTGCTGAGCTGGCGGCTGCGCCCCCCAGCCCCTCCTGGGGGGGCTCGGGGGGTCTGCAGTGGGGTTGGGGGTCTCCTGCCCTCACGTTCCCAAAAATGGGGCTAATTCCCCCCCTCCCCGGACATCGCAGGTCTGGCTCGGCAGCGCTGAGGCGGATTAGTGTCCCCAGCAATTAGGGGGATGCGGGGGGTGGGACGGAGCTGGGGAGGGGGCGTGGGGACCCCAGCCCCCCTCAGCCTCCCCAGCCAGGGCAGCCCGTGCCCCCCGGCCCCGGGGCAGTTTGGGGGTGCAGCTGGGTCTGGGGGGGACACAGCGCATCCCCTCCGGGATCTGTTTGCCCCCCTCCCGGCACAATTCCCTATTTTTAGCCGGCTCCTCCCGTGCGCGGCTATTTCCAGGCGCCGGAGAGAATAGCCTGGGGGGGGGCGTGGGTGGGGGGGCCCCTGGGTGGGGGGGTCCCTCTGCCCTGCCCTGCCTGGAGCGGGGGGGCTGCGTTTGCTCCCGTCACCCCAAAACCCAGGGATGCTCCTTGACCCCCCCCAGCCGCCGAGGAGGGATTTGGGGAGCTGAGGTTGGGTCTGGGGGCGCGCGTGGCCCCCCGCTCCCAGCCCGTTCAGGGGGTCACGGGTGTCTCTCTGCAGAGGGGGGGTCTGGCCGTGAGCCCCCGCTGGAGCTGCTGCCCCGTGTCCCCCTGCCCGCTGCCCTGCCCGCCCCAGGTGAGTGGGGGGCGGCCCCCCGTGCCCCCCAAAACAGTGAGACCACCCCCAAACCCGGTGACAGCACCCCAAACCCGGTGACAGCACCCCAAACCCGGTGACATCCCCCATGAGTGTGCAGGGGGAGCGGCTGGATGCGAGTGGATTCAGGTGTGCAAGGGCAGGTGTGCAAGGACAGGTGTGCAAGGGGAGCTGC